GGCAGGGGGCTCAGCTGTTTGGGTTCTGAGAAGTGCTCCCTGTGATGCTGACACAGGAGAAAGCTGGAGCATCACACACCCAGCTCCAGCTCAGGCAGCTTTGTGAGTTTTGCAGAGTCTCTCAGCTTCCCACTAAGGCCCAGAGGGCATGGCCAACCCATTCTGGAGCATGGGGTTTGCATTGCAGTGACTAGACAATATTCATTAAATCATTCATCACACTTTAGTGCAACTTCTGCTTGGCCCTGGCTTCTTTTCTCCCTCCTGCTAGATGGAGAGTTGCCTATGGCACAGAATGATGTCCAAGTCAACCCTTCACCCTGAGTACTGGAATGGAGTCTGGCACACATTACGTGTTTATTAAGTGAGTTGCCAACAGCACCCTACTCGGTGTAGTGGCAGGCGAGCCTTCTGAGTCAGTGATGCCATCACCGCAGACTAACTTACTCATTTTATTTTGTGATTCTAGGCAAAGCTGTCCCAAAATTTCTTAATGCATGCCTCCTGGTCTTTGAGATTCCTTTACAACTTAGGCACAGAGCCAGCTGTTTCCTAGTAAGAGAGAAGATTCTAAAGAAAAACATCCTTCAGGAAAGGTAAGCGGTTCCCAGAGGGCTGCCATCAGAGAAGTTTCAGAGGTCAGATTGTCACATGAAGTGAACTGGGTTTTAGAGGTACGGAGCACTAAAAAGAGCACCAGAAAAGCTAAGGTTAGAAAGGATCTGTGTCAGGGCCACCTGAATATGTGGTGACCAGCTGTGAATTTGTTACCAAAGCTCATGAAAAATCACACAAGGCTTAAATGGTCATCTTAGTCTTAATCGGACCACTTTGATTTGATTTAAGAAAGATTTCTGCACCTGCTGAGTACTCAGGTGGTGTCAGAGACAACACACCTAAAGGGAGACCTGGATTCCCCTTGCCTGGGTACTGAGTAGAGACAGCCATGTCTGGGTTCCAGGAACCTGTATACCTTATTTTCCATCTGTAAAGTGGGCTGCAGGGATAGGGTGACCTAGTCTCTCTAGTGCTAATGCTCTCAGTTCCCATGCTTGGAGAGGCTGGAGCCCGTCTACCTTTCTCCAGAGCTCTCAGCTTTAATTTGGTTCCCTAGACAGAGTGACAGCAGAGTCTGGCTCCAGAAACACCTTGAGAGGTAGATTTCCGATGCAGAGGAAATCAGTGCCCTTGGGAGGAACGGTTCCCACCTAAGCCCTCCCCAGAGACTACGAGGAGGACAGCCACACTCTGCATCAGCTTCTGGAAATGAGCGAAGCCTCTTCTTGCATTTGACCAGGGCCATGGACCCTTTAAGTGCTTAACAGATTAATTAGTTCCTCGTCAAACTGTTGTGGGATTAATTAGTTAGTTAATCCCTGAGGGCTCCCAGCCAATCACTTATTATACAACCCAGCTAGCCCATTCTCAATTCCCACAAATGCAGGACATCTGCCCTCTCTTATGCACCCCAAAATCAAATGTAACTGATTTGCAAAGACATTCCTGGGTATTCAGGCACCACCCCCTCTGGTGGGTAGTAAGATGACTACATGTCACCGGGTTCAAACCTGGACAGAGTAATTGCTGTGAGCCTGGAGGGATAGCCAGCTAGAGGGGCCAGAAAGCAGTGAGCCAGATGGCCGGTGGTAAGACCTGACCCACTCAGAAGGTCTCTCAGTATGATGTGCTCCTGCCTCCCATTTGCAGGGCGACCTTTGCAAGGCTGCCTTCTAGGGTCCTGCCACCTCTGAATTTCTGAGGAAACTCAGAACGGTTTTCTCCTTCAAGAGTGACTCTGGACTTCATTTTATCCTCGTGCCACTTGCCCAGGGAAAGGAGAGCAGTGCAATTCCACTTTGCCTCACAGAAGGGATCTTGAGCAGTCTGACTTCTACCAAAGTGGTTCTGAAACTGGGTTCTTTGAGCTAAGAGCATCAGCATCTCCCAGGACCTTGCTAGAGAGGCACATTCTCAGGCCCTACTCAGACCTACTGATTCAGAAAAGTAAGGGGTAGGTCCAGAAATCTGCTTTAACCAGCCCTCCCGGTGACTCTGGTGCTTGCTAAAGTTTGAGAACTACTGCTCAACATTTCTTGAAAACAGGTGCTGTAACTTTCCTATTTGTATGTCTCAGAACCCAGCAGAGCTTCGGGGATGTGGACCGAAATAATAATGTTTATTGAATGATTCAACGAGTCTATTGTCAGGGATGCTGAGAGCCTTATTAGTACTTGAATTCAAAGTCCTCTTCATTGCAAAGAGCTCTGTTTTCACAGTTACCCACTTCTCTTTATGCTCCAGTGGGGTAACAGAACCTAGAGGTTCAGGGCCTTGGTTTGAGTCAAACTGCCTGAGGGAGAATGCTCCACCGGCCACCAGACATGTGACCCAGCGCCTGCCCCAACTTTTCTGGGCTTTTCCTTATCCATATATTGGGAATTGAATTGTTTCCCTGAGAGCTGTGGCAGATTAATTAGGTGATAACTGAATTATTCAGAATCTATGAAGCATTCCACTGGTGGTGGCTATTCACAGCAATAATAACTTTCAGAGGTGGGGGAGATCTGCTCTGGACAACCCTGCAGGCAGGGCTCAGCCCCATCAGGAGGACTTGCTTTCTTTGTACCCCACCTCTGCTTTAGCAATGATTCCTACCTTCACCCCACAGGCTCAGTTTTCCTAAGATATCAGGCTTAGTCACTTCCCTCTTGGCACTAGGCCCTCAGTTGTAGGAAAATTCTATCTAGCTGAGCCCACGTTGCCCTGACCACTTGTCAGACCTACTCTGAGTATTTGTGGGTGGCAGAGTGTGGATACTGACAGAGGTCCCTGGCTCACAGCCTGGCCCTCTTGGTTCCCACTCCCTGGCTCCCTCCTCATAGGCAGGACCTTAGGAATGCTTGTAAGACACAACATGTCTTATTCAATGTGCTCAATAATCTCCCAGTCCTTCGGCCTCCCTGCCTGGCCAGCAGCTCAGCACCCTCTCAGGAGCACAGACCTGCAGAAGAGGCCCACACAGGCTCCAGAACGCATTTAGGCAGTGAATGCGAGGTCCTGAGCAGCCAGAGTGTAGCCTAAAAGAAGGGTGTGGGCTCTGGGTAGACATGTCCCTTTGTCCCTGCAAATTCCTCATTCCATGTGAGACTGTGGCGGGAGGGACAATGAGAGCCCTCTTAACATGGCACTCAGGGAAGGTGGCCTCAGCTGTCTAAATCTGATGGCGGCATTGGGTATGGTCAAGGGTTGTGATCAGAAAGTCCTACACTCGCCGGACCTCCTAGAAGATCAGTGCCGCTGACCCTTTGTCAGCAGCATGGTTGCTTCAGGTGATGGCTCTAGTGCTGGAATCATCTGCCTTGGGCTGCAGCACCACCAAGGTTGGGGAACCAGACAAGGGCCACTGAGTGGGTACAGCACAGAATGAAGCCCTTTGGAACCCAGCCTGGGCCTGTGACCTCCTTAGCACTGGGTACCGACTAACTACACAACCTCAGACATAGAACTGGCCAAGTGTTCGCATGTCCTATTTGTCAAAAGCTGCTGCCTGCCAGCCTGTTACCCTGCAGAGGCAGCCTATGACAGTGGGAAGAGGGTGGGATTTAGAGCTTGGAGACCTGGGTTCAAGTCCCAGATCTGTCATTCACCCAGTGCATGACCTTGGGCCAGTCACCTTATGTTTCTGAGGCCCAGTGGGAGGGCCACTCAGAGGATTGTTGAGCAGATTGAATGAGACATGTTGTGAAACAGCCTTGTAAGCTTCTCAGCCCTGGACAAATGGTAGCGGTGGTTATTAATATTTTAAAGGAAATGGACAGCTCACTGTCAAGATCACTGCTGCAAGGATCCCTGGGATAAAGAAAGCACGGACAGTGACCCAGACAGTGGGAGAGTGGCAGCCTGTAAGAGAAAGATCCGGGACAGAGCAGGCAATTAAGGAGCATAACGGGATTTTTACAGTGGACACTGGGCAGCCTTGTTTCTGCCTTTCCTAATGAACCTCCCTGCTGACAGGACCTTGTCTAAGATTCAAACAATGAACGTCTTGTCCAGACTTTCTGCTACCCATTGACAAATCTTAGGTTGGGGAGACCAGGAATATTTGGACACAGTTTACACTTCAAGGAAAGGCAGTAATGCTTCATTACAGCCCCCCAATACAAATGCAGCTCCAGCCAATACAAATCAGCATCACCGCAGGCC